CAGTTTACTTAAAGCGACCTACCTTGCATTGGTAAATAGTTTCAAAACCTTCACGTTTCTCGTTGTGATAAACAGATTTCGAAGTAATCCTCAAGTATTAAATATAACTACATTTTTAAGAGATATAAATTAGCTTTTACCTATTAAGTAGGCGATTGCCATTCTTTCACACGATAACATTCTCCGTGTGTGAAATCACAAATGAACATTACACGGTGAAATAATTATAGTGCTGTGACTAAGGAACATTGAATACTATGACAGACTCTCATAGGAATAGGCCGATTTACTTGATGAGTTGGGAGATCGGTGTTTTATATTTGGAGCCATCTGACAAAGTTGGATCATCGCTTTCGACGAAAGTAAATTACGTGACACCAAACACACAGGACAGTAATGGATAGTTGTTCGCTTCATTTCATTGATAGAATCATTGACGAGTCCAACTATAACCTTTGAGGATTTCGGCGGTGGAGTGGGCTGCCAGGTGACAGGCGAAAGTTTATCAACCCACGCCGGATTGAGACACGAATTCTAGGTGGATTGGAGGGGGGCCTATTCCGATGGAACTTGTGACACCGAACTCAATGGACAAGTTATGAATAATGAGCTGCTTGCAAACTACTTATTTAAACAATGTAACACAATAATTGATCTTCATTCGCTAGATACAAGTTTGCTGTCCCATCTGATTTTACTGCAAAGGTATGTTGCAAAGATTCAATTATTGATAAAAACATGGGAGTAAGTACTGAAATTTATGNGATCTATGGCTCTTTAACTTTTGCACATAGTTAGGTTTTATATAGCGGTGCATACAAAATTCCTCAATGCCACAAGATTTTTGGAATCTTTATATTCAAATCTACTTTGTGCTAGAATCACAAAATTGATTCACTTAACTTAGTGATGAAGTATATCACCTCTGTGATCCCCACACACTATCGAGCGCATTCCCACCGATCAGTAAATTTGCATTGTTTTCCCCGGTATAACAGGTGTGGCGCACTATCGATCTATGTGCAACACAGAAAGCTCGTGTTTGGCCGTCCTGGATCGTGGCTTCGGCACTGGCTACATTATAGCCCATGAACTGGGACACCAGTAAGCTGGCTTGATTCCCTTGCTTCATCCGGTGTATGCATTCATCTTTGTGTTTGTGTGTATGTTTGTGTTTGGCTGAGTGGGCAAAAACGCGAGTGCATCTTAATTTCGCTCATGATAAGCATCAAGCTTCGCCTTAGATCAGGGGATCAGGTGGAGACATTGTATTGGCTTCGTACTTTATATTCACGTGTATTTGTCTGTGAATGGGAAGGCGTAGACTCTTTCGTATCAGCATTGCGTTCGATATGCAAAATAACAAAAATGTTTGTATGACGAGTTGCCTCCAAAATTCGAACCCTCTTGTAGAAAGACAACAAACCATAAAAATTAAAAGAAACAAAAGGCGTCAAACCAAATGCTACATTCCATTTTGGAAACGGAATTCTGATTGTATTTCCTCTGAGTCTGCGCTTTAGATCGAGACAAATGGATTTTTATGGGTTGGTTCATAATGAGTTTCGATAAAACACTAAGTGTTCAGTCGAACAGATCAAGAGCAAATGAAGTGAAATAAAAAGGCAGATAAACTAAAGTATAAATTATTTTGAAATTTTTCAATTTCGGGTAGAAAATCCCTGAACTTACAGCATGAAAATCATGAACATAAGGCAAGGAATAGAATTTTGGCCTCTGATTTTCCGGTATCTACGTGTCAGAAAGCTGCTGTTTTGGTTTTCAAATTTTGTACGAGCGGGATTATTTTCAAGTCATCACCAGTGTTTCTTTGGTTTTTCACTCTCTCACTGTCTACAGACTGGGAGCGAAACACGATTTTGAACAGAATTCCGATTGTGAAATGGAAGACCAGAACCACGGAAACGAATTTATGGATAATACAAGCCATATGCTCACCTCGGATACTGGCATCTCAGTGGACGATTTGTCACAATCGCAACACTACTGGCAACCAAGGGAATCACCAGATGTTGTGCGGAGAGATACCATCATGTCTGGGACGCTTTACTTTGACAATTTCCCTTTGCGTTGGTCCGCGTGTAGCCGTCAGGCAATTCATTCATTCCTCGAGTAAGTAATTTATGGGAGAGATCGGTAACTGTTTTCTAAACCATTCATTTCATATATCTCTGATAAAAACTGACTAATTCAAATCTTTTTCGAAAACTGGTAAACTGATGACTGAAAAGTGATGAAAATCGACAGACGTAAAATGACTAGTACAACAGCAGCAACTGAAGAACAACGCAAATGCGACGCTCTCAGATAGGCAGACGAGCAAAACTGCGCAGTTGTATTTCTTCCCCTTATGCATTTGGGAACTTGTATCGAAATGACATTCAACTAACCGAACGGAAATCCGTCTGTAGGAAACCTACCGCAACACAATGTTTACATCAGCCATGTAAAGTGCATACGGTCTACCGGCCAATTTATCCTCATGGCTTACCGTTTATGTGAGTTGAATAGGTAATCCGTTTGGTTATTTATCCTAAATTCAGTTTTTGATTAGGTTCATGCTAAACGGTACGCCGGACAGTTAAACAACTCTGGTTAAAAAATCAATAGTTCATGTCACTCGCAAAAGAATAATTAACGGTTAGTTGGGTGAGTTCACGTATCCCCGTTTAATTGCCGTCCAAGAGCAATAACCAATCAAGAAAAACAGAAGCCAAGCAACGATTATGAAACTGATTGCCATTCAAATCATTTCAAATAGATCAATCGATTCTATAGTTGCAAACACACATACTTGTGCGCATAACAGCCGACGACGAAATAGGCACCTAATCGAATATTTTGCCGCAGCAACGGAAAAGAAATAAAGAACTTAAAAGATAACGGTCAGTTCAGCCGTCCGCAAACATCCACATCAACATAACTAATCTGCGATTATTAAACGTTCGGAAGTCTATGGAAAATCCAATGCCTGATCATTACACTTCCTTCTGGTTTCTTATCGCAACAAATGCAGTCCACCACCGATGCTGTACCCATCATTAAATAAACTTTTTTCTGCGTGGGGCCAAAGGATTGCCGACTTTTCCAGAGCATTAAGTAACAGACGATTTGGCTTAAACGGAAATTTCATTGGTAATAGTTTTATATTTTTTACCCATCATAGAACGATACAATTCATGTGGTGCCTAAATGATGGAAACTCTCGATATTTTGTTCTTTCATGAAATTTTCCTCGGATATCGCTCATGCACCGTTTTGTCTCTCCATGTTCCGCTCTTCGACGAACTTGATACTCCACTGAAGATTCAACATTTGTACTTTTCTTACAATCGCGTAATGGTTAAATTATTTGACCCAGTGCAGCTGACGTTTAGTGCCATTCGATATTTACATGAAAGTTTAGACAAACAATAATATAACTAAATCCTTTGGGTTCAATCAAGTGCTGTTCTCCATTTTGAAGGGTTTTATCGCATTGTCCAATTCTGTGTAACTATAGACAAACTTACATTTCATTGAATAAGAGAATACGTCAAAGGAGCACAATAGAGCTGAATCAATTTTTAAGTGCATGGAAGTGTACCGTCGCACACGCAAAACGTACGTGGTGCTGATTGTTGACAAGATGTTTTTACTCCGACACTAAGCTATATATATATATGGAATAAACGAGAATAACGATCCCCTTGAGTTATGTATACATATATATACACTCAGACATGTTCTTGGAGGAATAATGCCATGAAGGTTGAGATTTCTCGAGTTGAGACCTTATTGTGACAGTAAGACTAGCATACAGAGAACGGGACAGATCGTCAAGTGTGACGTATCATTATTGGCATATAAATAAACTAGTTGAAAAAGCAGAACCATTTTTTAATTGGCATACAAAAAGGATGCAGTGCAGTAGGAAAAAATAAATAAACTAGAAAGTTGCTAATAAGTAGAGCAAAATCATTGCACAACAAGTAAACCAGCTTTGATGAGGTTGGGGAAGTTACATGAACACAGTTGAAATGATTAGTTTCAGCCTCCTGATTTAAAAGACACCTCATCGGATACGACGGCTGCTCTTTCCCTCTCTCAACTGTTTTGTGAAAATACAGAGAGGAACGAGGTGAAAATACATCCAGTACCCTTAAATTGGTTGGGGAAACGGTCATTACATCCAGTAAAAAGAAGATAACTGCGTTTTGAGGAATAGTCGACGGTCATTAAATACTTATATTGACATATAGTGCCCGATACGTATCTGCATACTTAGTATAAAAACACGGTTCCTATAAAACTGCAGAGGAGATTTCAGCAAAATTGAACAACACCTTGGATCATATTGCAGTTCTGCTTGATAGTTAGAAACATTCAACTGTTAGGATGATGCTTCTGACATGTCCTGGCTGATAGTCGGTAAACCATACCTACAGAATAGACGAACAGTCAGATAAATTCAGCTTTTGAAGTAAGAGTGATCGGGAATTTTAGCCACCGGAAGAAAAGGTAGCTGAGAATTATGTTGAATTGTTTATTTTTTGATTCACAGATGAAGTGAATGAGGCAGGAAAACTCCTACTCCTTTTAGATGGGCAGTGCTTCTGCGACATCCTGAAGGCCAAAATGATATGCATCCAAATCGGCTTGATGTGGTAAGCTGGGTGAATTTCAGAAATATTGAGGGACGAGCTTGTTAATACATTATGACTGATACGTTTTCCATGTGCACAGAAAAGATGGTATTGGCCAATGAACAAGTGAAAATACAGAGTGAATACGAGGAGCCCTTAATCAGAAACGTAAGTTGTTTGAGGGCACCACTACCACTGCTCAATAGCGTCCGGATCTGCTGTAGCACTAAATCTTAGGAAATTTCTTTTGTTTCCGTTCAGCGTGAGCGTAATGGAGTAGAAGGTGAGTACATGTAGTGAATTTTTGAAAAAATACACTAATGATTTTTCCACTTTATCGTATCCTATTTTCATTCCGCCCCACCCCCACAATATTTTTCCCAATTTAGTATATACAAGCTGTTGGGCAAAGCTAGATTCTAATGAGTTAATTTTATTTATGATGAAATGGAACAAGTGTTTAACAACTGTTCTTTCCTGATTCGAAAACTCCTTCCCATGAAGAGTTGGCAGTCTTCCGTGAGGCGCGTGAGCAGATTCCGCTGGCAACAGTGTGTCAGTGAAACATTTTACCGTATTGAAAATGATAAAGGACGAAAGCTTGATGGAAAATACACTGTGAGGAGTGTTTGTCTGGAATTTGGAAGATTATGGACGAGATAGTTACACTGAAGAAAATGTATCAGCTTTGACTGAACATAAGGAGCATAAACTAGTCGGAAATATATTTATCGACTAACCCACATAACACAGCCTTCATTTCGGGAAATATAATTTGTTCTAAGAAATATTGGACAGGCCGGCGAATACCTTGTAGAAATTTTCTGTTTCCTTCGATGCATCAGAAGCTCGGATCAAGTAAATCAAATGAATTTGGAGCGTTTAATGAGACATGACTATGTTTTCAGACGAACCAAACAGAATTCAGGTTTAAAGCTCCAGTTAAGTGAACAACGTGTATTCCAGAAAACATGCCACAGCCACACTCAGTAAACAAGCCAGAGAAAGAGAACGCAACCATTTAAAAGCCCGCGAATCAAAAAGAAATCTTCCTGGAATAGATGATATGCCGTTCATCATACACCCTCGCATTATGCGGTTTTAACAGTTTCTAAACTGTTTTGGGTTCACAAATTTTCAGATTTATTTCCCTTTAAATGTGAAGTATTCTGTTTGATGAGCTTTGAACGAAAACACTAGTAACAGTCGCTCCTATTCATTCCGAATCTTTTTCTTAGTCAATAAATGAAAATGAAAATGTTTCACTTTCCGAGCGATGGGAGTTGTCAGCATTTTAAGTTAGAATTTGTATCTGAAACAGTCATCATATGTTTTCTGCTTTCTGCACCTTAAATGGTTCAAATTTAAGATACATTTAAGCAAAATGTCTTACTTTCTTATACTTATTTCCAGAACAACGTTTTCTCTCCAAACAAAGTGATTACATAATACTGACAGTCGGATCGAATTAGGAAACACCATCCTCCATAATTATGCCAGCAGTTGTTGAACTTTGTGCAAATCATATGACGAATACTAACTCATGTGTTCCTCCGTTGGACATCAACAATTTGGACAGTTTTTATAGTCCCTGAAAAATGCATGAACTAGGTGACTTTTAGGTGTATTTAACTGTAAACCCCGATTATCGCACATTTTCTGTGACAAAGGCATTATCACATCTATTATCATGGTACAATTACTCATTGACGTGATCCACAAAAAACCCTTAAACTAAGTTTTTAAATTCCCATCAGGGTATGTGGAAATTCGCGTTCGTTCATTCGGTTTGAGGGTGACCAAGCAGATTTTCTGGGTGATAAACGGCTTCAGCTCCNAGATAACATGAACCTATGGGCATTTCAATCTCCGAGCCACTCTCCTTCCAAGAGAAAAGACCAGAAAAAAGCACTTTTAAAATGCCAATCCGACCAATTGTACTTACCATATTTGGGTGTAGTTTTCAAATCCATCAGTAAAGTCAACACAACAGCATTTTCTTGTGCAGTCCCACTAATAACTGGAAGACAATTTTGTCTATTCTCTTATTTGTAACACCGGGTGACATTGAAGCTTCTTTCGCATACTCAAAAACGGTAAAAGTACTATGCTACATTACCGTGAAATATTAAGTGCTAGTAATGTTCAAAGCTGAATAAAGAATCTCATAGTCCACTGAATGAGTTATGCGTTAGACTTTATCTATTATATGTCGATACAGTAAAACATAAAATATGTTTTAAGGTTTTCTTTTTGTTCGTTTTCACTCTTTCTGAATTTGGCAGAAACGATGGAGAGCTAAAAATAACTTTCAGTGGTTCCAATAATATATACGGCAATAACTTAACCGAGCCGTATTCAATTGGTTAAGTTATGTTTCACTCATTGCGCGAAAGCTGGTCATTGTGACAGCACTGCAGATGACAAAAGGTTTTAAAATAGGATTTTTAAAATGAAACTAAGCATATGTTTCGTGGTTCTGCTATCTTCAGGGTTTACTAGATTTGGCTGATAAGTTTTGCAAATGACGGAATTTAATGAAACCTACTAGAACACGGCTCGAAAGCAAACTCAAATCTATGAGTAGATTTAATAATCTAGATCACTGTGAAACCTTTATTTACAAATGACTTCCATGGATCTCAATGGGGACCAAAAACAATAGTCTACGAGCCCCTCTCAAAACTTCTGCGGTGTTAGAACTCTCAGGATGCAGAAAATTGGAAAGAATATATAGTATTTATAGTGGTGAGCGTATGATAAAACAATTTTGACATTGTTGAAGGCAAACAACTAGCATTTTTCACTCTGACAAATTAGGAATTATACATTTTGCCAATTAACGGTCGATTTAGCAATTTCTTTCGTTCTGGATGGATTTAAAATTGAAGACCTAATAGAACTAGGCTCTGCGTTGAAAATATATGAACAACATTCGTCAGCATCATTACTTCGAGAATGAAAATGTCAGTCCAAAGTACTTGTAGCTGATGGGTTACATAAACGAAATAGAACTCCCCGGACATCAGCTAGATCCAAGGCTCCAACGTGTGCATTCAACGAGAAAACCTTTTGGTGAATATTCCAATCACATTTGCACTGAGACATGTTAGATTATGATCACGTGCTCTCATAGCATGAATGATGGGTCTGCCGCTAAGTAAAGTACAATCTCTGACAGCTCGGATAGGAAAAACCCACAACTCAAGAAAGAATGCCAAAGCACTTAAATCAATTGTTTATGGAATCTCATGTGGACAAGTCAATCACAAAAATACGAAGAATATTAGGTGCAATAATTTATTTTCTCTAAGATGATATCCGCAAATAAGTTCTTCGAAGGCTACTACATTTGGACAAAACGATCAAAAACAAGACTTTTCCCATCATGACCCGTAACTGAATAAACACGTGATATTCGGAGTTGAGAAAATCAAGGAAAGAATGATTAGAATTTTGGTAATGTAAAAAAGGCTAGTACATCTGGGCAACGAATGACGAATATTCGATCAAGCCTAGTCTTGAATCGCGGTCTGTCACGCGGTGCAACATGTGTGCTTGGAGTTCATTTTTTTCACTTTCCAGCTTGAAAGAAACAAACATGAAGGTGATTTAGTTCCATACACGTATTTGGTTCTACATTTTAAATCTATCGATATCCTGACTAAGAAATGAATCACTCCACATTGTGGGGACAAACAAAACTTTGTTGGGATAGGTTTAAATGTTCTGATAACCGATTACTTAGTACTCGATGATCATACGATTTGGTTAATGGGGGTTGCAGCAATAGTGATTTGCTAGTTACTGGGAACGACGTACATGTTTGACGAATAATCGTACTTATGACTTCATGTGCACATAAATCAATCGTTTGCGTTAATTAGACAGAATTTATGACAGACCAGTAAACTGATCACTATTTAGCAAACAATGTGAAACTAATAACTTCCATTTGACGTTTAATCCGTACTTCAAAATCTACTGATACTATAATAATTTGACCCAGTACATTAGCCTATTTCAAAAACTGGAGCTTTATGAGGAAAACCAAAGTCACTAAGCGGAAAGACTTTATGCAAATGGTTAACTTCATCTTAAAACTTTCGTCATTGTGGGACGTCTCACTGAAAGATTTTACTTAAACGATCTTCGAACTTCCTCATTGTTATGATAATCCTGAAACCACACCTGTGAAATCTTCGCCAAACCACAATGCAAATGATTCGATCCTCGGTCATTCAACTCACTTCCTCCCGTGAATTTAAACAAAACAAACCTTTTTCTCCATTTCGCACAGGACAAATGGTGCGTCCTGTCTACGAAGAGAAGATATGCCTTCCGCATTGCACGCCGCAGACTGGTTGGCTAAACGTTCGCGTGACGATTTGCCCGGATCGATGTTTTCCTTGGATCAACAATGCCAGTTTGTTCTAAAGGTTCATGCCACGCGATTCTGTGGCCAGTTGGTGAGTGCAACGAGCTATTGTCGCCTAAAATGCGAATACGGAATACAAGCACTCGGTATGATGGGTTAAATTGAACATTTGATGATCAAAGGTATTAATTGACTTTGAGTATCGAACAGATTATTTTTCACTTTAAGAGATTTGTAATTCCTAGTAGGATTCGTTGAATGTCGCATGAAGGTATTCACTGGTTTCTCTCTTTTAACGTCCCCACGCATTTCAGCTGCCGGTTTGCCGTCAGTTATACTGCCAGGATGCTGAAAACGGGGCCTGCTTGCCAATGGAAGCTGCATGGGCAGAAGGATCGTCATGTGGTGAGAACAAGGTAATACCTGTTTCCTCAAGCAAGTTAGACTGCTCAATAATTTATTCACCACCTGGATTATGATCACTATGATACCACTAGGTTAGAAGTTATGGCCAACTGAATTTCTGCTTGACGATTTCAGAGTATGATCACCATAGATTTTCCCTAAAGAATAGGGGGAAGACTCTTTATGGGGAGGAAACATGGGAAGTCTGTTTAAGGAAAACAACACGTTTTTGCTGAGTTGATCGTCCACCAGAATATAATTGGACGCAGCGCGTTTTCAGCTACCAGAGGCAGAACCAAAACTCACATAATGTTGGTGATAACGCATCCGCTCTCGTGATTGGCTTAATTATTTTACTAAGGAAGTAATGAGCACCGATCGATATGTGCTGACAACAATTTTTGAAGTACTCTTCAAACATCGAATGATAGTTATTAGATAAGTAAATAATCGAACGAAGTTTCACATTTTTCACAATATTTTGATCGGTTAACCCGTTTCTCATACATTCTGTCTGACTGGTGCAGCTGATGATTGTCAGAAAACTCGATTAATCAAACATTGAAAATTACTTTGAATGTCATGGATACAGATAGAATAGGAGGCAGAATGCTCAATATGGACTTATTTTACGACTCTAAGGACCACTGACCTCCTTTTAAATATCAGAACGATCGGAAATTAATCCTGGCGATACATAAACTGAAGACTGGGATCCAAAGTTATTTACGTTTGATGTATCACATCAGCGAAATAGATATAAGATACGGTCATAGAGAGAAGACCCAACGGGCTTGTTTGAGTGACAGATGGATCGGCAAACGCAAACGGGACAACATTGCTCGTTTGGAAGCAAATCACTTCTCATACTGATACGTTTTCGACAAAATGAATATGTCCATGACCTCCTACATGATGATTCAGTATGACCCACAATCGTATTTTTTTTCAACGATTTTCTTCAACTGTACAACACCACGCTGCAAACTTTTCCGTTCTAGTGGTGTATACAGGGCCAGTGTGTGCCAAACACACAAAAACCTGTACGAGTCAACGGAAACTGGGGTGAATGGGGTCCGTGGTCGGCCTGTTCCCGAACTTGTGGCGGAGGTGTTCGATTCTCCGAACGCGAATGTAACAGCCCTGAGTGAGTCTGATTGTGGACCGTTTGTGGTTGCAACACATTTGTTCCCATATGTATCCACTTAATTCATGCCGAACACGTAGGTGAGATATATGCCAATGATTCCACCAAATGTCAGAGACCCATCAGTTCGTAGAGCTTGGCCTATCCTGAGCTGCAGCCCAGTTGCAATAGCCATAGAAATGACCATTTGTTTTAGTTGCTGAAACTGTGCTGTAACACTTTCCCAAAATGAAACGGATTGCGAAACGGTCATTGCCAGTGCCATGAATGTCTTGAAGTAATCAGAATGTCGATGCAATTTGTCAATCAGTGCACATGATTTATGCTCAAAAATTACCGGAAAGTAAAATGATAACAAGAACAGCAAAATTGCATAGCCAGGGGGTGAGGAACGTGCATTTGCAACTGTTATTATTCCCTTGTGCTTCGGATAAAAATAAAAGTTAACACTCACGGGTGTGCAAACTTATTTATCAAGTAAAACCGAGAAAGCTTTATTAGGAGATAAAGACATTTGTAAACGGTACGCTCTTTATATGGCGCGAGTAAGTCGTTTGTACGAAAATGACTAGTAATTATGACACATCGACCATTATTATAATCCCTAACACCACTAAGTCTACCAGCAGTAAATTAGTCATAAAGACCGAGAAATTAACTTCATTCGTTTGTAAACCATTGATTCTGTAGAAAAATCTTCTTATTGTGGGCTTGCTAAGAATCATGCATGTATGAATTGCTGTATAAAATTGGTCGGAAAAAGTTATAGAGCTGGATAGAATGAAGAGCTTTCAGGAAGCTTATCGGTGGACACGACACCAAAATTCAAATTAATTCTTATCAGTAATAAGTATAATCAGTATATCATTTCACAGGATACGATGGGAATATATAAATACAAATTCAATCAAGATATGAATAGACAGCGTTTTTTATTGTATAAGGCTCCTGGTTACCGTATCATGCTTAAATTTACCCAAAGTGATATGTTCCTCGCCCACGTTCACTGAAAAAATTTAAGACTTATTAAATAATAGACAGCTTGTTACCAAAAAGCAAACTGCAAGTGAGCTTTCTCATGGTTTCGACAATAAAAGAAATCGCTTGTATAAAAACACCAACGGATGTTAGACTCATTACCCTGACTAACCAAACACTAGTGTTTAAAAATATGTCAATCTGGAACAGCTCGCTGTCGATTTTCGTATGCCCACGAACTTGAAATTGTTTTCAACAGATTCGCAATTCGTAATTCATAAGAAAACGTTCTTTGTGACGTGCGTCTATGTTTTACAATGCAAAGCATAACGATGGGCTAGAAATCAATGCAAAACTTGATCCAGTTGCTGAACAAATTGACAAACGTTGCTCTTAATAAAACTTCAAAAGATGTCGAATATCGTTAAGATGCTTAATGAAATTCTATTAGTTACTCAATTGGGAATGACATAAATATTCATACACTGCAAGTATTATTCTATAGTGATTCGGTAAGATTTCTAAAATGGTGGCCTATTCATGTCTTCATCTAAGCTTGCTTTAACAATGTGTGTACTGATTACGATGTGCATATATCGATTCAAGCATAATAATTATAATATTTATTCACTTTAGAAGAATGACGAAAAATAACTTTTCCTGGATGTTTCCAAGTATACACTTGTGAAAATCACATATTATGCTACACTGACAGCTAGCTCATCTAATTTTCAACTGTATGAATGAAACACATCGCCTATAAAAGCCATTAGACACAATTGACACATCAAATTTATAATTTCTTCTCGTCTACGTTTACTGAATTTTCGATCTCTGATTGATATTTCTATCATCACTGAAAGCTTTTGGATATTCATTCCATATGAAACCAGTGGGTAATGGAAAATCCGATCACCCTACTTTCGGAATTTGGTTTGGGCATATGTATGTACTAACTTTATGTATAAACAAATTATAAACTCATCCTTTTGAACCTCATTTCTGTCACTTGTTCTCTACTGAATGCATTGTTTTGTCGCAAACATTTTCTTGCAAAATAGGAGTTGTTATTCGAGGTTTACCAAAATTATCTACTGCAAAATATAGCAATGATGTTATTAAATGTTTCACTTGTCAGTTAAATAAACTTCCTCTCGGTAAATATTCCTTGAAATTCAGTAAAGGTGGGTCATTTTTCAACGCAATGTACTTGGGTTTTCATGTTCAAAGGAAAACTGCAATAGGGTTGGCGTTCATACCATTCTGCGCATCCAGCTGTCATTGGTCTTAGATTATTACGGACTTTGTACTTTATACAAAATAATCCGGGCCCTTAGCACACGATGTACGTTTGTGTGTCAATTCAATTGGCCCAAACCTATCTCAAACAATACAGTGTCGTTATGTTGTGCTTGTGTGTTTGTTACTTGTAAAGTCCCCATTTCCCCCAGTGTAAATTCCCTCACGCAGTTGTACTTTGATTCCCATACCTCACATTCAAACGTTCGATTTAAGCAGAGAACCACAGGTTGGACGTTTTCCATTTGTTGCGAATCCCGGCCTAAATAGTATGATCAATCATTTCTTTAGCTGGGAAATGATCAAACTATTGCTTCCTTTTTTATTTTGGATACTGACAAAGACAAAATATAAAACCTCTTGGAGTTTGCCGCACTGTACATTTGTTTTTACCTTAAAATAAATTCTCTGAATTAGGAACAACCAACAAAATAGAAAACAATAAATTTGTTTTTGTGATCAGAATTGCCATAATCCCTTGAAAGGCCTGAATATGTACAGTTGGTTTTTATATCCAGATGAATTTCTCATATACTTTGTGTCAGCATAAACGAGTGCATACGTTGGGATCTAGGAATACAGGAATCTGAAGAATAAAAGTGTATGCATTAAAAAATGAAAAGGTATATTGCGGTACTTTTTGATGGAACTTAATACACTTCTGTTCAGTTTGCTGGATATCTTCCATTATCCCATTCTAAATTTCCTACTACCCATCGCCATCATCATCATTATCACCATCATCACACGAGTTTATTTCAATAAATCTATCATTTCAGTTCAGGCAATTATTAACGTCACTGTCATCACCACCCAAAACAGCAATTCCTAGTTTGGTATTTCACCGGGGAGGGATTCCAATGAGGGCAAGCTTACTGCCTATCGCAGGCATTGAGTTATTTGCATTGCTATTCGTATACTGATTTACCTCGGTTACCTTTATGAATTTACAATATTTGAGCTGATACATTGGATAATTTTCACAAACTGCCGAGAAGCAGACCCAAATGAATTAATTGCTTGGTTGCTTACGTCTAACTCAAACGTTTTCCACCTGTCAGCTTGTTTGAACAAAATTTGTTTAATTGATAAACATCTGCTCCAAAACTCAAACTTCCCTTTGCGAGGATCGTTTACAATTTCGTTATGCGACTCTTCAAACAACCATAGTTTGTCGAGCTTTGTTATTTTATTTTCCACATTTGCCTTGAAGTTCTTAATGGGTTACCTTGAGATCTCATTCGTTGTGTTCTTGCTTCAGAACGGAAATACTCATAGTAGTTTCTACAAATCCAATGGAGCTATTATTCGGAAAATCGTTAACTAAGTACCACTCAATTCACTTCGTTTCGTCACTTGAACATTGGAGGAGTTTAAATCTCCTGTCTAAGTAGAAAATGGTTAAATATAATGACATGAAAAAGCAGGGTGGTTTGCAATGCTTATGAAACACAATCTCAGAAGTTTATTAGTCAATTATACTTAAATAAACTGATCCAAACGCACCAAACACCTTCCTGAATAATGAATAAACAACTGCCGGTTAAATGGGCCAGTCTCGTGCAGTAACTGCAAGAAGGAAGTGGTCACTTTGAATTCATATGGTTTCATAAAACTCCCACCGTAAAATTGGTCAAATTGTCTGTGTATTTAATTATTAGTTTGCAGCCATCACAAATACCACAAAATCATGGGGCTTGGTTCAGCCCATATCTGTCAGCCCCAACCAATCGAGTGTATCTCTTTTCATTGTCTCTTTGTACAACATACCCAGACAGATTGTAACTGCAACACCTCATTCGGTACTTTTGGTCAATGAAATAAACTAAAAGCGTCAGACGTTGATTTATGCATCCCCTCGGAATAAATGAATCCTCAACAACTTTATGACTGTTTCACACGTTCACTCTTTAACGCGGCTTCTGAAGTGTTGCAAGCTGGTAGATAGTTGTGATCAATCCTCAGTTTCAAGATCTTGTCTCACTGCACAAATGTTAATAAAATCTTATGAGTTGGTGAGCGTACGTGATAGTGTAGAGTATTCACCATTAAAAAGCTTGTTACTATAGATAAAATACTGAAATTCAAACGACATTTCGTTTCTTAGGTAATTCCAGTGTATTTTCATCGTAGCTATTGTGGAATTCATTTACATTTAATTCTAAAACGCTTAATGAATGCTGACTGGAGAAACATTTTTGAAATCCACATGTGTTCTACTATTTCAGGCCAGCTCACGGCGGCGACTTTTGCCACGGTACCAGGACAAGAATGCGATCTTGTGCTATACAGGTAAATCACACAGAGCGCGCACTTTTACTATAACATTTCAGGAATTCAGTTCGTTGGTTATCCTTGTGCATTCACAAAGACAATTATTAATCTGCAGATGTGTTGTATTTTCACTGCATACCGCACTACACTGATTCTATTCAGTGATTTATTTATTTCCGATCATCCGAAAATCGATTCAAAAATCCATTCGCTTTTTTTGCTAGATTTTTCCTTAAGTCTCCCTGGAGGCGTAAACTATCGATAATAGTTTGCTTTATTCAAATAAAACCGACAAGGCATTCAATACCCAAATAAGAGAAATGATCTCCATCCCCGCACGATTTGTTCAAAGAGGAGGATGTAACATTAGGCGTAATTGTGTGGCGTACAAGTGATTTTTTTCTCAAAACCAAACAGCTGTTAGTTTTCGTCATTTGTATCGATCGTGAAAGGACAATTGTTGTCTGATCAACTCTGTTCAAACTTGCGAGTAAATTGCACCAATTCGTTGATGGAATTTTATGGGAAAATGTTAATGAACTAGAACATAAATCATCCGTTCGCGAGATTTTTATTTTGTCATCAATCACATTTACGTTCCATCGTTTTACCACAACATCTCTCACCAAGTGAACAAATCACTTACGTGAGCGTTGTCAAGCGCCTAATAACTGTCTCATTAGGCTTTTTCTATCTGTGCGTTTCTACCCGGCGATCGATTTATTATGGAGCAATAAAGTATATCAGTAAATATAACATTGGAGTAATGAATTTCATACTGTACTGTCTAATGTAGGGATAACATTTTGTCTTTTCATTACTTAAGCAGGAACTCTATTTTTCAATTCCCGACCCTAGAATGCTTTGTGCGTGTCTAAACATCTAAATACTTCTACTATTTTTCTCGACAAAAATAACTTTCCTTTGGAAATTTCTTTTTTCCGAATATTCTTACAGCCCTGTGATAAGCAGTCTAACATTCGTCAGGAACTTTGTGATGCCATTGGACATCAGTATGGAAGCCAACTGGGGGCATATATGCCCAAACGTAAGTACACAACCTCCCAAACATTATTGCAGTTCTAATTAGTATGCTGGGGCCAATATTTGATCCGCATTTGTAATTTCCTTGTTGATTTATCACCAACGGTGCCGGTCAATAGTGGATGCTCGTTTTATATAATTTTTCACATCAAAATTCGTAAAATTGTTTGTTAGCCGTTCATCTAAATCAAGTTGACCTCTCTGTCTCAACAGAATGCATTATTTTCACTAGAATGGGCTACCGGACAGTTCGCAATAAACACCGGCGTGCCTTTGATTAACAGCAAAGGTTTGCTTTGGTACTATGACTGAATCATCACCACCTGAAAGCCCCGAGGCAGTTAGCAGATGTTTAATTAACATAATGCCTTATCTCAATGAGCAACCATGAAATTGATGATTGAAACAAAGGTATTTATCATTAAATGTCAATAGAATAGAATAGAATACAAACGAAAAATCCATTTTTGAGCGTCCTTTTCAAGGACGATTTTGTCAAGGCAAGAATACGGTGCTGTTTACGCGTGCAGCACTCTCAATAAGTGGACCGAATTCGGCAGTATTATCCAAAACTATCAAAATCAATTTGTCTTGCCATTAGCTTGTAACAGATTTCCATCAACTTAATTGCCAAGCGTTACTAATACACGAAATTATTGCTTAGGCAGGGTTTAGATTGCTCTGGAGAACGCAGTTAAAGTTATCTCACTCAGCTATAAAGTTTGATGGAACCATTTTGTTTGTACTTTTGGAATCTGCTATTTCTTTTACATTTACATTTTTATTTATTTTTATTGAATGCATAATGATAAAATTTTCAGGAAGGCGGAAGCTGCCAAAGAAAACGTCTGACATATAACACCCAATGGGGAAATGAGACAGTGGTTGTGGAATTTGAACACACTGTCCGAGGTGATATTTTGTTGACGTTGTCCCCAGGCTATCACTAGGCTGCAAATTAGGTTGTATCTAGGTTAAAAATTGCAAAATCCGTATCATTTTTACCGGAATAGCAGGATTAACAGCTGTGTGCTGACTTCATGTGAAGTCCATTAGAACTCCACTGATAACCGTTAATCAGTGATCCGTGGACTTATTTTCTCCTGATATGGTTTCGTTGTGGATTCTGTTAAGTGTTTTCTGCCTCTTTCAATCTGAACAAAATATAAATGCTCGCTAATTTACCGCGAATAAACCGAGGAGTAACAGAGATGAACACAGTTATGTGAGGGTTGAACTTCTCAAAGCACTGAGGCACGAATCTGCCAACTGAGTGTCTTTGGCTTGTGCATCAAATTGATTCCGTTTTACGGTGATTAGGACTGAAACTGGTTTCCTCCCTTCTTCGGGCCATACACTGCACATCAAACGTGTTTTCCGTGGTAGGTAGATATTTGACATATCTGACATGCTCGCGGTTTTGTATAAATCTAAAAGCACATAGATTACAATTACTAAAACCGTACCGCAGGTGAGATCTTATTTCCTCACATGTCTATGAGTGTGCGTATGTGTGTGTCCGTTTGTACGCTTTTACGGATATAAACGGGTTTTAAGATGCCAGCTTAATTTCTTTTTTTTCAACTCAAATCTCATTTCGGTTTATTGGGGACCTAGTGATCAACTTTCGATCAATCAATGAATATGTATTGTCAATAAAGACAGTATGCAAACGCATGCGTAATGTGTTTGACGTTAGTGGAATGTTGAAGTGAGTGGGTCCAAACGTGGATATGTGCTGAATAAGATTACTTTTTTAAGCTTGTACAGAGAGGAAATGCTAGCTGAACGTACACACCATCTTCTAGTTGGCCGGTTCGTTAATGAATCCGGTTTGGAAGTGTGTGTGTGTAATTTCAATGTGGACTATCTGCCTATAACGGCATTAGGTTGTCTACCCTGGGAAGAGGAAAATTGCGACCAAACCTGAAGACAACATGATGCCTGCCCGAATCACAATGGAAATGAATCTATAGACTGATTTATGAATGAAAACTTGATTGATGCACTTCCCCCTCGCTTTCGCTCTCTAGTGAGAGAAGAACTTACCACAGCAAGGCAATGCCACATGAATTACAACAAAATCCGGTTACCAATCTTCAACGGTTAGGAAAAAGACATAATCGACGCCACGTGCAGAGAAGTTCGGAAGGAAACAAATGTTATTTTTTCACTTTCTTATGGTAACAAAATACTGCAACTACTTGTTTATATAGTAGGGAAATTGAGTTTTCTAATCCTGTACTTACTGCACATGAACACGGATGTATATACAACAAGTTATCTGGATCTGTGCATCAAAGTTATTGAAAATTTTGGCTAAATATAGAAACAAAGTTCCGCAATGCTTTAAAGTGACAGGTGCTAGCACCAATATCACAAATTGCCCTCAACACAATACTGTTCCTTTGAAACCTATACAGCTATTCCGTCTGGCATCAGTGACCATATGTTTTGTCCAAACATGTCGCAGGTGTGATGAATTCGATATAACGTGCACCCAGGGCAAGCATGAATCCACGTTGTCGTGCGCGCACCCGTACACACACATGGATCTACGTGCATGCAAGACTATGCGCTTATTTGCATACTTAGCTCTATAGGGGCGTGTGTTTACATATTTATATGGATAATAATATATTTATATACGCATATATATAGACAAATTTGTTGATTTTGGAATTTTGACGTGCGTGACAGTTTCTTTCGTATCGTAAATGAAGCCCAGACCAAACGCTTGGGGAGTGCGATTCAAATAAACACGGCCCAGTTAGAGCCCTCGATCTCTGAAAGCTGGAATTGATTGAAACTCATGCGTGGGTGTAAAAGAAAAAAATGTATGTAGATGTTCAGATCACGTGGAAGATGTGGTAGAGAGACTGAAAAGGAGGGAGGAGAATTATTCTGATATTGATTATTCATTTAAGAAGTTCAAAACAACCAAGGCAAGTCTTTTTCGGATAGACAGCCAACTGTAAGTGATTTTTCGCTGGTTATTACGGTTGCTAATAGCATCCGAGCTTTTCCATGTTACTGTCTTTTTATCACCGTTTCAGCGAATACTAAGTACCTCTTAAGGTCATTTGCACATAGATGAGCATAGGCTCCATTGGTCTTTTGTTTAGGTTGTCCAAAATGAGTGAAAAGAAAAATAATCATGTGGTAAATTCAATATGAGTTTATATTTTATTTTCATTTAGTGCTGAGTTGAATTTGTTAAACTTGACTTCGACTTTAAAACTAGAATATAGAATTATCCCCAAGGTCATTTGCTATTTGCTTTAGAGCAATATATATGGGAGGCTAGAAATCAAATCTTCAGTTTGGATGAATAAATGGGAAACTACTAAGTAAACCGGAACACGTGTGCACATCAATAGGGTTGGGATTACAGAGAAGCAGTAAAAATCGTTTTTTCTTAATAAATCATTGTGACTGATGACATACAGAGTTCATAGGAATACGTTGAAGAACTTTCCAGATCAACTGCGTTTATTGTTAAACCTAACACATGCTTCGTTGATCAAATGTCATTTTAGTACGAAAACAAGTTGGACATGACTGTAAGGGTGTTTGAAAAAGTAATCAATAATTCTAAACAATACTATACCGGTATCACACTACTACCACATGTTTGGTCGTTAATAACAATGCTCAAGTACTATCATCGAATATAAACCAAAATGGGCATTTTTGGGAGAATGGTGGCTTTTAAGGAGGCAAACTGTGCACATTTTTTTACTGTAGCACTTTTTGAGTAATTTTTCCTGCAAGCAAGTGTGTCGTGCTTCTACTGGCCGCACACAGCATATTAATAAGAGACAACAGTGGAAGATTGTGATGCTATTTTGCCGCAGTATTATAGGGTGAGGAGAATTGCAATACCCGTCCACGCCAGAAAATTACAATCAGATAGTGTATATCATTGGTGTGTTTTTGTTATTGTTCCCTAGTCAATTTGGAACTGGATAGTCGTGGAAATTGCGGGGCGATTGATGGCAGAGAAAATCTGATCCTTTCAGATCGCGTAGATGGTGTAGATATACTTATATGTTCCATTCAAAATCCGCATCAGTCATAATAAGCGCGGAATTTATCTCGCATCGATGCATAGCACAGGGTAAAATATCAGGAATCTTCATTATCAAACACACGCAAGTTCATCCGGCTCGATCGTTGCTCACAATCTCCAAATTACAGTTAGACATATTTTGAAAACCCGATTTTTGTGAACGATATTCATAAATGGTACGTACGCAAGTAATGCTGCTAATGAACTTCTCAACCGATGAATCAACGCGTACCGTCGTTTTCTCTAGGCCCTAGCATGATCCTTTATTGGAGATGCAAATAATCACACAGAGACAAAACTCGAAGAGCAAAAATATGCTTTCCCCTTAAGTTGCGGTGAGTGATTATAACTAGAAACTCAAAGCTGTTACACAGGCGAAAGTTTTTTACCTCTTTCTTGACTGATTCCAGCAACTCCGCTAGCCATTTTGTTAAAGTGTTAGATAAGTTATTCATGACTTCAGTGAGAACTATAGGTAAGCATGAAGTGTTACCACTTTCGAACGTAACTCACTTGATGAAAACGTTTTGCTACAACCACCAAGAAATATTTGAATTCAGCACATCCTATGGTCCTGATGCTTCTTCTGGATCTCACGAAAATATTAAAGGGAACTGGTTGCATAACATCAACCTTAGGTAGTCTTTCGTCACTTTCGTCACACAAATACCGATATCTTTATTTTACAGTCGGAGAGGCAAACGCCTGCTCATTAACCTGCCTGGATCGTGGGCAAGCGGTGCATCATGCAATCAGCTTACCGGATGGCACACCTTGCTATTCTCAACGTGATGACATATGCATCAAAGGTCGCTGTTGGGTGAGTTGCACCGGTTGTATCCAGGCACTTCTCCGTGAAATGCGGCATACCATAGCGTTCCGTTTAAACAGGGAGTCATTTGGTAAATAAAATCCACTTTTATCCGTTCTATTGACAGTTACTACTTGTGATACTCAGGAAAATAAAATACTATATATTTTCCTATTTGACTTACCAAATCACATACAAAAAGTAGATTAATTATACAAATAAAAATAAGAAACGTTGTGAACAATCAGAACAATTAAAGATTGTGGTTTCATTTTTCACTGTTTTGATCTGTTCCTGTACCATGCCTTCTACTGTTAGTTTCAACTGGTATAGTATCATGAATAGTAGCATCAAATAACAATTTTCGAGCTGAAGATTGATTGGATATAAATTTAGATATACAAATGAGAAACCTTGAATGTGGAAGTTAAACAAAGAAAATGAGAATGCAAGATTATCGACTTGTTTTCGTCCTGCGAACATTATTATACAAATATTTGGCTGTTTGACGGGTTTTCTCATCATACAGGGATTTTCAATTACTGGTTTCCTCCCTGGATATTTGATGGTAAACATAAACGTTTGAGGTTTGTAACCTTAGGGATTTTGAAATGTTATCTTGAAGTGATATCACGTTTCAAAAGTTTACCGCCGGTCAATTTCAACGGGGTCGATTTAAACAGAATGGTCTCTGTTGCACTTAACGACGTAGTCAGTTATAGAAGTTTTGATTTCAACACAGAACAACAAATTTCACTCTAAATAAATATGCAAAGGTCATCGAGGGGCGTCATCAGTATCACTGCAAACTGTGATGACATCAAAAGATTGCCGAGTATGTGGCATACGCTCATTGACCGTGATTAACAAAAACTTAATTGGCATGTGTTTAATTCAATCGGCGAAAAGGTTTTTGTCTCTCGTGTCGTCTTTTTGATTCATTTTCTAAGAGATTGATGCACTAAAATAATGACGGTTGGATACTCGTTTTCTTTCAGGAGACAGGTTGTGATGGTGTTCTCGGTTCCAGTCAACGTTTTGATCAATGCCGAGTATGCGGAGGGGATAACAGTTCATGCGTGGAAATCAGAGGGGTGTACAATGGAGAGTCCGTGAACTCCTTGGGGATCCAGACACGCGGTGAGTGATGCACTCTAAATGAATTCACTACAGGTTTCAGAGCAGTACGCTAAACATAAAGTTTTCCAAATATGACTAATAGGTCTGACAAACCCCAAGCAATTTCAAGCTGGTAAAGTAGGATTATATCTTGATTGGGATGACCACCTTTTCACGCTCAGTTACAACTTCAAATCGTTACTGATCCACAACTCCAAATAGGTAACTGTGATATAAATATGCAGTAACAAATCTAATTCTCGAATCAGAAGCGCAACCTTTTTGAAGTCATTGAATCAATAACTTCATATTAGCCAGCCCTTGGTAAATACTTGCACTGAAGCTTAACATTTTATTGCTTCTGGATAGCATAAAATAACAGCCTTTAATTGACCGACATAAACCCACTGGTTTCTCTTTGTCTCTACAAATAGGACTCATTAATGCGGTGCGGATTCCTCGCGGTGTAACCAACGCTTTTGTTCGTAAAGTATCGCCAAGGACTACTCCTTACTCATCCGATTCCTATGATGACTATATGCTGCGTAAGTTGGATTTTTGTAAAACGCACATGTCTACAATCATGACCGTCGTTTTCCAGCGCTTATACTTGTAAAACCATAGTGGCCACCTTGTGATCATGTTCTTCTATTTTGGGAAATTGCTTTTAGCTGAAAGAACACCATATCCTAAATGTGGCTAAATCCATTTTTGTTTTGATAAACCTCGAGCCGTTCTGTGCAGCAACAACCACCACAGAAACAACTCACAAAACCTACCTCGAAAGATCCCCATCACTGCGGTATGATTCAGATTCTTAAGGCGGCACAATTTATGTTCAGTCACTTCATGCTGAATTTGTTATTCTATGACTCATCCATGGTAATTGGTTTTCCACCAAATGGATCCGGTAAGGTTTTCCTGGTAGCACGCGATACTTGAGATGAATCACACGGGATCCAAGTCGGAATGAGGAGAAGAGGGTGGATCATTAATAACAACATCATGTTTAGATGACGATTAATTGGAAAATTAAGCAGCTCACACATAGAAAGCACATACAATTGTTCTGCATTACTGTTCACCTACATCAAACTGGTAGCTTGCACAACACTGCTTATGCTGTGCGTGTTTTCGGTGCGAGGTGATTCTACTTGGTACCGTCTCCTTCGGAAATGTTACATCCTACCCAAGAATGGCACATGTAGGACTTTTGGTTCTGATCAACTTGGACCTCTTGATCGAATAAGCTCCTTATTTAAATCGATTATTCTAATCAATTTCAAGTTGAATATTTGCTCCAATCAATTGGTTATGTTCGACGAATTAATGATTACACTTATTAATCATTTATGATTTACGTTTTAAAGTTTCAATTGCAGAAGCATACACAACGCGGGATGGAAGAGAATTCCGTAAACCACACTCTGATTCTAAGCGAATGATTCTAGCGATCTAGGTGACTGTTATTGGTGCTCAACTTCAATGGATGCCCACGGAGATCATTATTTTGAGATACAGTCGAGACAGAACGGCATAGTTGATTGGCTTGATGCAGTATGTGATATATCAAGAATAGGTCCCCTTGAATACGACGGAAGTGAGATGATTAAAGCCCCAATATATGCAGTCTTTTGGAGTGTCTTGTTATAGAAACTTTGTACCGTTTTTGTTGTCCAAGTGTGCGGATGTTTTAGAGCCTTCTTATCGTGTTTTAACCATGAATTTCATACTTGAACGGTGTATTCGGTGTGCGATCGAATGTACGCCTACAGCAAGCGTGAAAATAATGCTATCTCGAACTACCCCAAAAGCATGTTCAAGTAATTCATTTTGCTTTAGAACCATGGATGACGCTCTGGCACAGTGCGCGGAAGATATTACGTCCTACTATACCATAGATCCCAAATCCTTTTTATCAGTGGTATGCGGTAGCACTTGTTTCCCCAGAACATAGGAGAAACGAGTCTTGTGAAGCATGGATATTTTGAAACCTTATATTATTTCATTGGAGATTGGACATCGGTGAGCTGTATTTATCATTTCTTTGAGTGACAAATATTCCTCTGGATGTGTTACTTTCGCCAGACTTGAGCGTCATCCATGAGAAGTTGTCTATTTGGCCCAAGGACTTGTGGTAGATCGCATATACATGAAAAAAGAACGAGGAACCCCTCACATAGTGGTGATACGTGCGGATAATGAATCACAGACACGAACTGACATGCCTTATTGTCGGAAGACTCCTTGAGCCACCTGAGAACCAAACCTTTTATTCTGTAATTTAAAACATTTTCACAGTAAAACTTCGTGGTTTACTTGATATAAAATTTTGAAGAAGTTCAAATACAGTATATCCTATGGGTCGCGTTCACCCAAGAAATTTGTCCACTCATCTAGTGCAAGAAGAATAGGTTCGGATATATCGTTAGATACTGAACTGAACTTCCCAGGATGCATGTTTTCCGCACCTGGGAAAGTATTCCTAAGAAAGTAGTTTTGCACTTATCATTTCGCTGTGAAAAGCCATATTAAACGGTGACAGATATGGTATACAAAGTAGTGTGCTCGGAATGTGAAGTGCGTTCTGTTGCTGCGGTAAACTTCTGATCGAACTGGGTTTACGAGAACTCTGCTGCTTCTCTCGAAGTAGTTGAAACATTTTCAGACGATCTCAATGCTGATATTCTTCATTTCACCCTCTTTGTATAGTTGATAGTTTTATAGTCAGTTTTGGATTGGAAATGAACTTATGAAACAGGGTATCTTGGTACCTCAGTTTGTCCTCTGGCATTAACTTAGTACACTGATTTTTCAGTGAGGTATAATTATTGCAAGTTTCGGCAGATAGATATCTTCTGTACTCCTGCTAGGAAAAGTCCCTGTAAAGAGTGANAGTGATTGCCGAGTTTCAGATTTAACACGGGCTTAGATAATTGTCGCAACCATTATCATTTCGGCACAGCTTTACTATGCCACCAAAGGATCGAGATCGTGTTTGGGGAAAGCCAATTGCTTCAGTACTGTCAGATGTTACAACTTTTCGCAGTCTATAATAACACTAGTACTGCTCTTTGGCTTTTCTTGGGTAGCGGTGTAGCCGAAGAAATTATAATTCAATACGGCATTATCAATGACATAGATAGATTCCACCATTAGATCCTCGTTCGTCAGCACTAAACCTCGTGAACTGCTCCAAATGTGGTTGTTTCTGTTACGTGGTTGTACGATGGGTGCAAGTCAATGCACTGTGATAACCGCCTCTCGAATGGATGGCAAGAAATTCTGATCGAAATAAGATTAGGACAGTTAAAATCATCCATCATTAGGACGTGTTAGCTTTAAAAGTGGGGCATTCCTCATGGTTTGCAAAACAATCTTGTTAGCTAAATCTTAAGATGCAGAAGGTTGGTATAAAACATTGGTTCGACATATAGTTTTTGGGTTATCTTCGTGAACAAGGTAACTGCATCGGGAAAATCAAGCCTTTGACATTGTAGATTGTGTCGATGGTAAATGAGAACTCCACCGCCTCTAGTAGGACGATCACGCCTGACCAGCAGCCTTCTGGATAAACCCAGTTCCGGATCGAGAATATCGGTGGTCAGCCAGGTTTCAGTAACTGCAACAATATCACACTGATTGCTTTTTACAAAGGAGCTCCATTTCGGAGAATTTGTTAAGGTAAAATGATGCATTGATATAAAAACATGTAAGATATGTTCGATACAGAATTCCATCTAGGTATATGTTTTTGTTTCTGCCGACCAATTCGCTGTCGGCTGACAGTATTTTGGTAGAATTGGTTTCATTTTTGTTACTCGGTGAATGTGGAGTGATAAAAATCGCATTAGTCAAGGAAGGTGGCGTGTAAATATCAGCTTCCGTAATCGGACTTTGCTGAGATTCAGTATTATGTGGTGGTCTTAGGAGCGAAGCTGACAAACTGCGCTTTCTATTCACCTTCCACGACTGTAATACAGGGTTGGCGATTTATGGCTTCCAGGGGATTGCCCTCTCTAACCTCGTACGGTTTTTTGTGGTAATTCAGTGAGCTTCTTAAATGACTAATCACCCTGGAAAGAACCTGGAAACAGTGAATTAGCTCTCGAATGAAACCCCATTCTTTGCAATCGTTTTTTTGACACAGGGACTTATCTGGATCTTTCAGTTAAGGGACTCCATGAGTTAGAACACCCCTTTAATTTTCCGATTGTCGTGCATTTGTTTGGTTGGTGCTATATGGCGTCCGCTCCATCCAGGGTTTATCTCGAAGTAATCTTGATCTACTCGAGCCTTTTCTTGAGAAAGTAACTGGATAATAACTGTTTATAGATTGTTTTCGCTTGCAAATGTTACGCGAGTCAGTGGTGACTCCCCAGCATGAGGCGATGATGGATAATGAAACAGACACTGAATTTGAAGTGCGTGAACATCAATACTCATTTGGTTACATAATTCAGCCCAGTAATCAAACTCTCTCTCTTGTTTCTTTCTCAGTGCATTGGTCGTGAGCTCTTTGGTGTTGTTGCGAATAACTGTTAAGGAAGTGTTGTAAATACTTGTGACAAAATTACAGGAAGTGCATTCATAGAATTCTAACACATGACTCCAATCTGTCAAGCAGCATACTTTCCATACTTTCCAGATACCTTCAAAAGAACTCGTGGTTCTAATACTTGCCAAGTTCATCTTAGTTCTTAAGACTTTCAATTCACAAACAAAAAAATTATAATTGGTTCAAAAATGCATTACTTTCCTTATTCATTGATGACAAACTCTCGGTAAAACAGGTAAAACAGTTAGCCACCCAGCCAGAACGTATATGGTTCTG